CCCCAAGTTTGCCAAAGCCGCCTTTAGATCAAATAATTTTCTTTGTGTGGACACCTCGTCCTGTAAAGCGAGCTTTGGATCTTCAGGCTCTATGCAGAAGCCAGTCGTTCTTACATCGCACTCAGTGACCGCGCTATCTGTAGCTCCTGCTGGGTTGGGGAAGCGCCCTGGGCGTCTGCCTCAGTCAGGAAAGCTCCAGCAGAGGGACGCCTACTCCAAATGCTGCACCTCTGCTTCCTCTGAAGGGACCTCAGGACATGCTGGGCTCTGCATCACTAGGTGAGGGTATGTCACTGTCACTGCTCTTTTTTTTTTTTTTTTTCAGGTAATTCACATTCTTGTGTGAAATTTTAGAGTCACCAAACATACTGAGGATGATAAAGTTAATTTCGACTTTCTCACCAGGTACAAAGATTCTTTTGCCAAAGTCACTTCCATAACTCAAAATCACATCTGCTCAGTGTTTCTCTTTGCCAGTGTGGATAGGTCAACAGATTGCATAGCCCACCACAGATGTGGGCAGAACATACCAGAAGATGATTTTCACCTTTAGCACTGGTGTTCAATTTTCCAAAGTCCTGACAAGCTGCTTCTCAGAGGGCTGAGCGAGGTGAGGGGGCCCCGGGACGAAGGATGCCTGTGGATGCTGGACCGTGTCTGGCCCCAGCCAGGTGAGCACCAGAGTAGAGTAGGGCTGGTCACACATGGGAACGTGGTCTATGTGACTCAGTATTACACATGGACACACTGTTCTTCAGACTGGAGTATATTTGTTGCATAGACACAGAACTATCATCTAGATTTCTCTTCCTTTATTCTGGAGGCGCCGGGACACTAGAAACAAACTTCTCACCAGTAGTCAGGGCAACCTTTGGTGGACCAATTTGTGATTTTTAAAAAAGGATAGAGTCATCAAGTTTTGGCCCAATTTCAAACAAGCTGTTTCCCGAATGGCCTTAACTTTGGCATCATATTGCTGTTTGTTGTCTGAAGCTTCAGCAGAAAGACAACAGGAGGTCCTACTAACACTTCTGCGTTTGATTTATTCAGCCACTTCTTGTGCCCATATGTGAAATGCTGCGCAGTATAGAAAACTTCAACTCCTCATGGACTCTCTGATGGATACCACTATAGGATTCTTCATGTTCGAGGTGGTGATATTTGTAGGTTTATGGTAAGATCAGACACACAGGGAATTTACAAGTGCTATTTCTTTCCAGATGCCATGCCATCAGTGCGGACTTCTGAAAGCGTGGACCTCACCTCGCTCCCCTGGGACCTGTTCTAGCATTGCAGGCCAGGGTGGCTGAGATGCACAACTCAGCAGAGGCCCCGTGGTGGGGCTGCTGTGGTGGTGATGGGAGCCCAGCATACGCTGGTGAGGGCATCTTGCCTGTCTGCTTACAATCCGGGTCCATTCAGAGCAAGCACGTCCACACAGCCCAATCCATGGAGAGGATGCAACACGGAGCCATGCACACTCTGCTTCAAACCTGGGTGTGTGGGACAGCAGTAAATGTCTCCTGGGCTCTGCGTAGACCTGGCTGGCAGAACGAAAGCTGGTAGGTGGGTGGGAGGAAAGGGATAAGACCATTTTTTAACTAAACTTTTTCTCTCTTTCTTTTTAAAAGGTTTTTACTATACGGTGTGTGCACTCACCAGGGAAATAGAGAAAAAGACAATGAGAAGGAAAGAGAAATCACCTCCCAGAGGTGATGGCCACACTACAATCGCTTCTCAATTCTCCTCCTGGGTTTTTGGACATGCTCAGTGTGATTTTCAAGCTGCTGGGTCTGGAACTCAAACTATAGTCAGCAATGTGGGAGTCCAGCACCTTAACCACCACAGGAGAGACAGAGTGAGTAAAAATGAGAAAGAACCCCCTCATGGGGTCGGTCATACCACAAGCCCTTCTCCTCTATTTCTCCCTTCTTTTGGGTTTTCCCAACAAAAAGTTAGGTACACTTATGCCACAGGTTAAAAAAACAGATCACATTTGATGAGCCTGACAACATTTTGAGACTGAAGGTTTAGTTTTTTTCCCTTGCTAATGGCTGTCAGAAATTTGTTGGAAAAAAGTCACCGCACCCCTGACTCTTATGTGATATGTGCGGTAAAGAACCCCAAGTGGCACCTTCCTGACTGAAGGTAGAAATGTCCAGGACAACAAGACGTTTGAGCTTCAGTCCTTCTGGCTAGACTGAAGGAGCCCAGTGGCCTTGGTGGACTTCCAACGTGGTGCTCACACCCTGAGCCAGGGAAGCAGCGGGAGGCAAGACCATTTTTTAACTAAACTTTTTCTCTCTTTCTTTTTAAAAGGTTTTTACTATACGGTGTGTGCACTCACCAGGGAAATAGAGAAAAAGACAATGAGAAGGAAAGAGAAATCACCTCCCAGAGGTGATGGCCACACTACAATCGCTTCTCAATTCTCCTCCTGGGTTTTTGGACATGCTCAGTGTGATTTTCAAGCTGCTGGGTCTGGAACTCAAACTATAGTCAGCAATGTGGGAGTCCAGCACCTTAACCACCACAGGAGAGACAGAGTGAGTAAAAATGAGAAAGAACCCCCTCATGGGGTCGGTCATACCACAAGCCCTTCTCCTCTATTTCTCCCTTCTTTTGGGTTTTCCCAACAAAAAGTTAGGTACACTTATGCCACAGGTTAAAAAAACAGATCACATTTGATGAGCCTGACAACATTTTGAGACTGAAGGTTTAGTTTTTTTCCCTTGCTAATGGCTGTCAGAAATTTGTTGGAAAAAAGTCACCGCACCCCTGACTCTTATGTGATATGTGCGGTAAAGAACCCCAAGTGGCACCTTCCTGACTGAAGGTAGAAATGTCCAGGACAACAAGACGTTTGAGCTTCAGTCCTTCTGGCTAGACTGAAGGAGCCCAGTGGCCTTGGTGGACTTCCAACGTGGTGCTCACACCCTGAGCCAGGGAAGCAGCGGGAGGCAGAGCCAGCCAGTGGACAGCAGAGAATCTGCACGCTCATCGCACGTGTCTGCTCAGAGGGCCAGGCGTACTTGCCTAGTAATCCGTTTTCTGTCTCAAACACAAATTTGACTCGCTCTACTTGTATGGGATCTTCAATGACCTGTGGAAGGAAGGAGACACAGGTTGGTAAATGAAGAAAGGAACTTGTCTTACAGATACGGGCACCTCCTTTATAATACTGTTCAAGAGATTAGTTTCTAATATAAAAGAACCCGGTACAAACTATTAGGTTATTGCCATAGATCTCAACCATACCTTAGATTTTAAATTAAGATGAAAACACTACTCAGTATTAAGCAATATTTAAAGATCCATTCACTTCCTGTCTGTGTTTCTATCAATTCTATCTACCATTCTCTGTGGGCTATGAAGTTAGGTATTTCACCAGCCTAGGGACAGAGGTTTATGCTCTAACTTGCTTACCGAAGATGTGCTAGTTTTGCTACTAGACAGGTTTAAAAGAGGACGTGAAAGCTTCAGCTGTGCTACAGTCTCACTCGGTGGAGTAGCCCTAGTTCTTGGAGCTTAATGATGCAGTGCAGTACATTATATGGGTTTGTGTGCCGGATGGACAAAATGCGTCCCACTCTTCAGATGCAACAATCTGCAGCTCATAAAACTACTAGGACCAAAAAGAAATAAAGGACCAGAAAGACAGGCTTTAACGAATGGCATTCAGGCCCAGCTGCAGTGGTGTGAGCTGCCAAAACACTGCTCTGCAGGCTGGGGCCACACGGGAAGTGCAGGTTCAATTCCCGGTCCAGTGTGAAGGCCAGGCATGGTGGGGCATACCTATAATCTTAGCCACTTAGGAGACTAAGAACAGAGGATTGCAAGCTCGAGGCTAGTCTAGCCAACACAGTGGCCAGACACATGTTTGTAGTCCCAGCTGGGAGGCTGAGGCAGGAGGATCATGACATGATGAGACCCTGTCTTAAAACAATAACAAAAAAAGCATTCATGATGTATTTTCTCATTTAAAAGCATTTATAAATGCTTACTCTGTGCTAAGGCCCATATGAAGCATTAGGGAACTAAGGAAACACAAACCTTACCCCGTCCCACTCTCTTTAAATAGCTCCTGGGCTAGTTTCTCTTACTCGCTTCAAAGCAGTTACCAAATGCTATTGACTTTCTTTTTGAAACACACCACGATCTGTCCCTTGCCCCCTCCTACCCTCTGCCTCTTCCTTAGTATAAGACTTGTTATTTCATACATTATTTTCAGATCCTACATGGCCTCCCAATTCTCAATCTAGCTTCATTTTTTAATTTTAAAGTTTATTTACCTCTCCCATGAGAGAGACAGAGAGGAGGAGAGACGGGATCCCCTTTAGGGTTCCCATCACATGACCCACTCTCAGTCTCAGCTGGCCCAAATCATGGACACGTATGTGTGTCTAGCATGCTTCGGAGGTCCTGGGATGTGAACAAAGGACCTTCCCCACGTGGGTCCAGCTACATTACTGCTGTGCCACCACCTGCTCCGCTTCTTTCTTTAAGTCCATCCTCCAGAACAACTGCCATGGAGTCTTTCTTTTGTCTTTCTTTTTCTCTATAGGGTAAGTATACTCAATGGAGATAAAGAGACAGAGAGAAAGCACCCAAAGGGGCTGGCCATGGGGTGCTTCCCTTCTCCTACATTCTCCTCTTGGGATTTTGAGCATGCATGCACATGTGCTTGGCATGTCCCTCAAGCTACCAGGCCTGGGACTTGAACTGCTCTGTTGGCCATGTTAACCATTTTAACCACCAAGCCACCCACTGGCCCTGCCAAAGGAATCTTTCTAAAGCATAAATTGGGTCGCATTAGTCTCCAGCTTAAAACACTGAAGGCAGGGGTACACACTTACACGCTTTCAGGGGCCAGGAGAAACTGCGGAGAAGGTGGGCTAGGCAGCAGACATGAGTACATGTGAGGACGTGGGGACTGGAGACCGCGTGCCTCATCTAAGGGGCACACTGCACTGCTCCAGGCAGCTGCTGTATATGGGGAGTGGGGTTAAGATGGCCAGATAGCCCGATTTTCAAAGATAGGCTGGAATCCAGAAAAGCAAAACAACCCCCACCCCCCACGATTCTGGTCAAACAAATAAGCATACAGGCAGAACTTGGCCCCCTGCCACCAACATGCCACCACTGGCTTACAGGGGAAAAGTCTACACGTGGCAGTATGCAAAACCTTTCACCACCTAGTGTGGGTTTCTTTCCCCAGCTGTAGTCTGTTCCTGCTCCTTCTCCTGGCCATACTTTCTACTTACAACTCTCTGAGCCTCCCAGGAACCTGGAGGTGAGCAGGGGATCTGGGGTCAGTTGCTTGCTCAGATCTGGCTCAGCCAGACTCTGGTTCTGCCAAGGGTGGTCTTGGGCAAATCATTCTACCTTAATTTCCAATAATGCTGAATTTGCTGAGTATAGCTGATCCTTCTATGCTTTTTGCATTTCTGAAATTTCACGGGTTCTTAAAGATTCTTTGTAGGGGCTGGAGGGTGGCACAGTGGTAAAGTATGCAAGACTCTGTGAGGCTGACCCATGGTGGGACTCTGTGAGGCTGACCCATGGTGGGAAGCTCCAGGTTGGCTTCTGAAGACTCCCGGGGTATGCTGGACACCTTTGTGCCCACCATCTGAGGCTGGCTAAGGCTGGGGGTGGAGCACACCACCAAGACTCCATTGGGGTGCTGTCTTCCTGTGTTTCTCTCCCTCTCTTCTGGCCCATAGAAGAAACAGACTTTAAAATATATTTATATAGTATATATATTAGTATATGTACAATCAGTAGTGTCTAAGAGTTGATGGACTATAAAGCCTGCAATCTACCTGTGAGGGTTATGGTGAGGCTGTGTTCAACGTGGTATGTTACCCACTGAGAGGCCTCCACAGGGGTCACCTCTCATCCATTACACCTTGGCTTTCTGCACTCTAGGTGTGTGTGTTCTTGTCCGGCTCCCTCCCTAAACTGAGCTCCTGGGAGGTAGAGTGTTTTACTGCTCATCTCTAAACCAAAAATGCACAAAGCACACGACTGCTGTGAAGAGGACTCAGATGTAGAACAAATGAATGGAAATACAACAAAAGGACATACAGCTTTTATCTACAAAAACATGCTGTCTAGAAAATACCTAAATACAAGCAAATCAGGACATTTATGGCTTACCAGTATCTCATGAAGTAGTTGGAACGTATTCTTCAACTCATGGGGTGGAGCTGTTTCTAGTTGGTTCTGAAATATTTTTTAAAAGCAAAAACACTCTATTAACTCCTCAGTGGAAAGCAGAGTGGAGCGGCAATCAACAACGCTGGATCCAAGTCCCTGTCCCACCACTACCTGGCTGACCTTGGACAAGTCAATTCCCCTCTCTGGGTCTCAGCTTCCCCAAATGCCATATCTAAGAACCAAAATAAGCAACTTCTACGGTCTTTCCAGCTATTACATACAACCAACACTCCATAGTGAGATGAAAAGTGGACAGTTTAAAGTCACTGGACAGACCAAATTGACATAAGGATATATCCTATTTTGTTTTCCAGAATACGCAGGTGTAGCTATGAGGATGCAAATAAGAATGCTCTGGGGTAAGTGTGCTATGAACCAAATATATAAAAAATCAGCTTTAAGAATGAAAAAAAGATCTGCCAAGACACACTAAATGAAGAAAGTTAAGGTCATAAACCCATACTCCTTTGTGCATTTTAGTAAATAAATGTAAATACAGTGGGAAAGGATGTGGTGTCCCAGCATTACACTTCCAAGGTGCCAGGTACGCAGTACATCCTACCCCTCACTGAATCCTCATGACTTGTGAAGGCAGTCACATTTCTTCCCATTCTGCACAGAAGGAAATTACCTAAGGTCATATAGTTAGTAATAGCAGAAAGGAACTTAATCACCTCTCAGAGTGGTCCATCTGTACCGAAAAGGGATGACAATGAAGAGCTTAAAGACATAACCTACTATCACGTCTGGTGTAAAGAAGGCAAGGGAGAAATTCTGTGCACAGGAATGAATACCTACAGGGTAAATCTGTACAGAGCCCACAAGGGAACAATGTGACAACACTGGTCCTTGTGGTGGTGTGGGGCAGAGGGCACAGGGATGCTGTGGGTCAAAGCTGCTTCAGTCTTACTTGTACGCTTAAGTTTTTCACAAACAGAATGTAGTAGTACCTATGTAATTCAAAGTTAAATATAAAAAATGAATAAAAATGATGCGTCTCCTTAACCGTTTTTCTAGTAATACCTAGGAAGGCAGAGCACAATGGTTAGGGGCACAGGCCTCGGGGGCAGAAGGCTAGGCTCGAACTACCACCTTGCTGGTTGCTAACTGTACAACCCCCAGGTGGTTACTCTGTGCTTCTGTTTCTTCCATTGCAAAATGGTGATAATTGTACCTACTGCATAGGACTACTTGAGAATTAAGTGAATTAAGTGTATAATATATTTAGAACAGCGTTTGTCATCCAGCAGGTGCAGTATGATAACAATAATTACTACATTGATCAGAGCTTCATAATTGACTACATTGCTATTTCAGAAGGTGAGAACCTACTTTTTATTTTAAAATGTTGCCTGAGGAAAAAAATCTGAAATTGGAAAACCATTTTGCACAGCAGTAGTCATCATCACATTATTATTAACTTTAAAGAATGTGCATTGCTAGGAAGAGAATGGTTAAGTAAATTAAGAAACATAAAAAGATGAACTATATTGACAGGCTACTTTTTTCCTTTTTTTTAAAGAGAGGTTTTTGCTATAGGGCACGTGTGACCACCAGAGAGACAGACAGAAAACAAGAAATCATCCCCCCTTCAACACACACACCGGGGGATGACCATAGCCGCAATCCCTTCTCCTCTAGTATCCTCCTGAGATTTTGGGCATGCGCACACATGCACCTAGCATGAGTTTCAAGCTGCCAGGTCCAGGACACGAACCACAGCTGACTACATGGGAGATGAGCAACGTAACCATTATGCCATCTGCTGGTCCCAACAGGCTACTTTTAATGATATGGGAAAATATTTCCAATGTCAAGTGAAAAAGAGACAAATCATAAAGATGATAAAATCCCAATTACACTAAAACCATGCATTAGAAAATAAAAAGATATAACAAATACAATCAAGAATAAAAAAGAACACTCATGGTGACTATCACTGAATAGCAGAATTATAAGTTCATTTTTCAATTTTTCATTAAAAAAAAAAAACCCCTTATTATCCAGATTTTCTGATTAGGAAAAAACGATTCAAGTTATAAGAGCAGCACAGGCTGAGGAGCAAAGGAGCAGTGGCCCAGCGTCTCCGCTGAAGGTGCTCCAGCCACCTGAGGTCTGGCGAGCTCCTACCTTGATGAAGTGCAGCATCGTGAAGGAAAAGTGCTCATTACAGAAGCAGCAGTACACCACCATCTCGATGAGTGCCAAGAGCGAGCCCGGCAGCTCCCGCAGAGCAAACATGACCTAATGACAGGACACAGAAGGAGTAAGCTCTTCCCAGCCACAGCGTGCCGCCACTCCGTCATCCCTGGCTTCCCCGAACTGTACTCAGATCAACAGACTCTGAATAACTGCTAGAGGTCTAGATGTTACAGTATCTGAGCCTGTCTGAAATTTTATGCAAATCTGTATAATTTCTTCCAGGAGAGAATCACCGTCAGATTTTCAAAAGCAAATGCCCCCAAAAGACTTAAAATAATCAGTGATACAGTTAAAAATGTTAAGCTGAGGGGGAGACAAAACAGGGAGAGAGGGAAGGAAGGAGGGAGGGAGGGAGGGAGATGGCACAGAATTGTGGATGTAATTAAAAACCATTGTACGGGCCAGACAGTGGTAATGCAATGCTCTGCAAGGCTGACCCACATGGTAAGGTTCTAGGTTCACGTCTGGAGACCTCCCTGGATGCTTGGGGTGCATATGTGCCATGATCTGGGGCTTGCTCAAGTTAGGGGTGGATTGTGGCATACAGACTGTTGAGGGTACTTGCCTGTCACTTCCTCATTTTCTCTCACGAAGAAAGAAATTTGGAAAAACACCAGCAGTATGATACATTGTTCAGATTTATGTACATGTAGATCAGGTTATGGAAGAAGGGCTGGGAGATTAAATGCACAGGACAGGACAGCTCTGGGTGAAAGAGGAAGCGGGGATGATGATAAGCCACACGGCAAGTGCCACATGGGGGGCTGTGAGCAGCCCCCTTCCATATGCCTGAGGTTTAAAAAAAGTAGTAGCAGGGGAACAAAGAGAGACTGGAACAAAACCCTCTGATGATAAACTGTCGGTCTGATTGACGAAGCGCTTTCTATCACCTCTGGGGCCTGGCAGGGTAGCTGGCTGGGCTGCACCTGGAAGTCCAGTTAGTGGTTGAGGAGAGGAACTAACAGTATATTTTTCCATTAATTACTTATATTTGCCATATACATAGAGAGGAAACTTAATTTGAAGGAGTCATTTCTTCTCTTAATAATACTCCATCAGAATAACATGCAAAATATAACTAACAGCGAACGGTGTTTTTCTTTAAATAGGAGAATAAAAAAAAAGCAAGTGGCTTTCGAGTAACAAGTACATACCTCTAACAGGTAAGGCTTCCCCTCAGACAAGAACAGCAAGGCTTCTACTTCCTCATGGAGGGGCAGCAGAGGGCTCGAGGGGGCGATGCTAATAGGTGGCCGCTGTTTACACATGCCAGGAGCTTTGGGAAGACACAAGACAAAGCCCAAAACTCACTTGGGGTTACCCCAAGAGACAGATGTCCATAAGGAAATATGGCTCTGTCAAGACACACTCACTCTTTCTTTCTTTCTTTCTCTCTCTCTCTCTCTCTCTCACACACACACACACACACACACACACACACACACACACACTCTCAAAAGCTGCCCTCACAGTCTCCTGAGAAGCCAGACTTGCAGACAAGAACAGATGCTCGTCTACTTCCTTCACCTGTGTCTAAGGTGTAGCTGTGGACTCCCAGTGGGTCCCACTCAAACGATCTTTCAGACAGAAATATAAACAACACGTGGGAAATGCCCAAAGCTAACACTGAGGAGACACTGGACAACTCACCAGCTCCTCAAATAATGGCCGCCACCACCTATGCTAAGCAGAGCAACCCATACGGAAGGGGTTACCTTGTTTGCTAGAAAAAGGATGGATACTCCAATTTTCTTTCACAAAACAGTCTGAAATCATGAAATTAGGTAGCTTTTCTTTTTAGACAAGTGAACCAGTCTAGAAAGCAAACTCTACCTTCCAATGACATTGGTGCTCTTCTCATTTCCTCTAAGAGAGTCAACGAGCATTTCTTTTTCAGAATGCTGCTCTGAGATTTGTCCCGCGTTTCCTGCCTTTAGGTGGTCCTGGCCAGAGGACATTACACATGAATGCAGCCTCAGGGTCAGAACCTGGAGCCCACAGCCTGGCTGTTTTGCCACTTACTGGCTGAGAAGCCTTGGGGAAGTTACTAAACCTCTCTGTATCTTAGGGACAAGATCTGGTGGTTTTTGTTTTCAATCCTTTTTTTTTTTTTTTCCTCTTCTCATCTATAAAAGGGGCTAATCTCTCTCACAGGTTTGCTGTGAAGATTAAACACAGTAACTTGAAAGTACCACGAAAAAGCATAACACACAGGAAACACTGAATACACTTCTGCTGCTTAGTGTATTATTACTGTTGTTGAGAACGATATACAAACATGGCACACACCTGTAGTTTAGGATACTGGCTAATCACACAGGACAACTTGTATCTTTGTTACATTAAATGATGACTGTGCTCTTGGTTCTGGGTGACAAGATAGGGAATACTACCAACTGCATCTTAGATTCAAATTTGTTTTATTGATGTAATTTACATCTGAATCCAGTTTGTTTGAACAAAGTACTTAAATATTTTATTCTTCATTAATCCTTATGACACCTTTATTTTTTAAAGGCCTTAATTACTATTATTATTATTATTATTGCCAGAAGGTACATGTGCTTACCAGAGAGAAGGAGAGGGCACACCCCATGGGGCGTGATCACCTCAGAGTTGCTTCTCTCCCATTTCTCCATCCCATCAGGATTTTGGGCACAGGTGCACACAAGGTTGGCATGTTTTTCAAGCTGCTGGAGCAGGGATTTACAACTGCAGTAGGCCATGTGAGATTCAGCTCTTTAACCACTAAGTTATGGCCAGCTCCAGGAGCCCTATTTTTAACATTTTCTGAATTTGAGTGAATTTTTAAAATACTTCTTTCTATAGCCTCCCATCTCCCAAATAAATAACTGACTCAGTTTTTCTTGTGACTAACTAGAAAATAAGTAAAGCTCAACACGAATTAAAACAAAAATTTCACTACTCCTCAAATATTAAATAGCCAAGTGAGAAACAGGTACTGCAGAGGTAATTGGCAACATTATTATTCTCCATGCTTGATAAATGCAGCCTCTCTCCATTTTCCTGCTGCATTAAAGGTATGCTGAAGCTTACCAACGTTCCTTTGGGAAGAGACATCTGAATGCAAAACAAGCAACGCCACCGTGTTGTGCAGGTTCCCAAACTCTCGCGCTTGTGCTGAACTCCACCGGCGTATCTGTCATCAGCACATGACAGCGTTTGGGTTAGAAATACATGAAAAGGGACAAGATCTGGTGGTTTTTGTTTTCAATGCTTTTTTTTTTTTTTTTTTCTCTTTATTTGCCAGAGGGCCTGTGCACTTGCTAGAGAGAGACTGGGATGAGGCGGGGAGCGGAGGGGCCTGAGAGTGAGAGAGTAGGTAAATACACAAGAATGTACCCGCTGAGGGGAATGGTCACACTGCCATTCCTTCTCTGTCTCTCCCTTTTGGGATTTTGGGCATGCGTACCACACACACATGCCCAATGTGTTTCTCAGGCCACTGGGTCTAGAACTGCAACAGCAGTCAGCGTGTGGAATCTAGCTGCTTTAACCACCAGGGCATGGTTTGGCCCCTTCTGGTTCCTGATATTGGACCACAAATAGGTTTCAATGCTTGACAGTAGTCAAAGTATAAAAAGGTCACAGGTTTTAAGCCAAAGGGTTTTGCCCCAGGAATACTTAACTCACATTCTAAAACCAATTCCATTCATTTATTCGAATTTAGATACCGAATGCTGATGAGATGCCAGGTAATTTTCCTGTACCTCCACATAATGGGAAAAACCCACCAGGCTGGACATCTGGTGGCCTGCCTCTGCCTCAGCCACGCCATGCTGTATGAATGTGGGCGAGTTCTTTACCGTAGCAGTATCTGACCTCTGTGCATTGCCAGAGGTAATGCTACCTATCCTGTCTACTTCTGTGTAAGGAGCAAATGAAATATCAAAAATGAGGACATTTTCAGAAGTAAAAATGTGCTCCATAAATGCAAGACAGTAGTAAATGTGTTCCTGAATGCCAGTTAATTTACATCAATCATCATTGTCAATGAAGTCCTTAATGGAAGAATGTGTAGTGAAAATGGGATAAGTCTCAACATACTGGGTCACTGGGAGTCATGATGCATTTCTGCATAGGAGAACACAGAAAAATACACGATGGCTGTTCTGATGACCCAGTAACATCGACACACAGAGCACGCTATGGTGTCACTGCTTGTTCCTTATTTCTGAAGAGCAAGAGCAGCAGGGTGATGTGACAGAAAGCTGAGGAGTGGCCTACGGGGAAACTCTCCCTTAATAAAGAAAAGAAAACTTTGCCTATGTGATGCATCACGCGCACAGGAGACGGGCTCTGGCTCTGGCATCTCCAGAGCTAGCTCTGAACCCGTGTCACAGTGTGTTAGCTCTGTGACCTCAAACACGTTGCTTACCATTTCTGTCTGGGACTGGAGAGCAAACTGTGTATCTTACTGACCTGTGGGCACCGAAAGTATTACCACTTAAAGTGACCAGCTATGTCTGGAACACAAGAAGTGCTCCATAAATAGTACTCAGCATTACTGCATGTTACAATTTTATGTATTTTATATCTACTGAACAAAAATAAAGTCTCCTCTCTGTGATCCCTCAACTTTGTGGGTGCAAATCAACCTCAACTTCTGACATTCTGTGACAGCTTGCCAACCCTAGTGCCCCGTGAGATAGGCCCGGCAGACAAAAAGATGCCACAGAGAAAGAAAAAAAATTAAGTCTCTGAATCTCAGAAGCTGGAAAAAGATATGGAAATGACTAGTCTGTCAGTGTGGGGAAGAAATGCAGACTCAAGGACACATTTATTGTAATGTTTGATAGTGACAGCCAGGAACCAGAGGAGGAGGATGGATTACAGAAAATCAAGACACGACAGTCAAAGTATTTGACTAAAAAAAGAACTGCATGTACGTTTTCATTTTTGTGTTGAGAATAGTTTGGCAATTTCGTATGTTACAGAACTGACATGATTTTCTTCGTTAGAAAAAGAGACTTCTCTGAGTAAGGACATATATGCTTCCAATTTATACTGGGTTTCATTAAAAGTTTTAGGGGTTTCTTATGGAATTACCTACAAGTTACACGATTGATTCATTAGAAGTAGAGTGCTGAAAAATGTGACCTTCAGAGTTGGCACAGGTAGGTTTGAATCTCCTGGGTTTACCTAACCTTATTACATGAATCTTAGGAAACACACTGGTTTTCAGCTTACTTTTATTTCCTCACCAATGAGATGTAGATGAAAACTCTTAGAAAATCACTTAAGTAATGCTAAATTAACGGTACCTATAACTGTTTTTGCCACTGGAACCTGTTATTGGAGGTCTTACTTTCTCTTCCATCATTGTCATTCAATTGTGAAGTTATTTAATCATTATTGTATTCTTGCATTCTGATGTGGTATAAAATATTCAAGTATAGGGGTAAGAGGAAGGGCATCAGGAGAGGAAAAAACAAACAAGACGTTTAATAGATACACAAATAAAAAGTTATTAATGGTAATGTATATGGAACTGTCTGACTTGACTAATATGCATTGTGTCCATGCTGGGAAAAACCATGCTGTACACTGTTAAGATGTACAGTGATTAAATGTAAATAAAACAATAAATTAAAAAAAGAGAAAGGTTCAAGTATTTTGTTAACTTTTCAGCATAACTAATCAAAATTATTATAACTGATTCAAGATAAATAAAAATACTTTTTTTTTTTTAAGACTTTCCTCCACTGTAAATTTGAATTGTGGTGATTTAAGATCAATTTCTCAGACTTAAGTTACTTTCAATCTTTAGAAAAACAGGTAATAAGGGCTGGCAGGGCGCTGGACTTCCACATGGCCACAGTTCGAGTCCCGGACCTGGCAGCTTGCTTTCTCACTCCCCCTCCCCCCACCCCCGTCCCTCTCTGGTCAAAGCAAAAATAAATAAATAAAGTTAAATAAAATAATCCTTTAAAAAAAAAGAAAAAATAGGTAATAGTTTTTTAAAATGTAATAATCTTTATCAATGGACAGTTTTGTCACCATGGGTAGAGTTTTAATAGTTGTCTGGTTGTTGATTCTAGATCTTTATAGTCCAAGTGCATTTCTATTTTTAGTTAGTTGGGTTATACTTTCTTATGCAGTGTGACAATCTCTGTCTTTTAACTGGTGTGTTTAGTTACTTAATATAATTCTTGATACTTAATATAATTATATTTAAGGTAATTATTGATGTGGTTGGATTGAAATGGACCATTTTGGAAGATGAAAGAAAGAAACTAACAAGATGTTTAATAGACACACAAATGAAAAGTTATCTGTTAATGATAATGTAAAAAGAAATATAAAGAATGGGAGAAACACACCTATATCCTTCAAACAGGAGTTATTTTGGTATATATCCAACCCTGCTATTACAAGACAATTTCCCTTTCCTTTGAATAAAGTATCACATCGGCATTATTCGACTTTTTTTTTTTCCAGTAAATGCAGGTAATATGACATCAAATCAAGGATATTACTGTATGCATCATTTCAACAGAGAACTTTACCTTCTTTTTTCAATTTCTAATAGTATAACTTCACATTTGAATTCTGGGCTTGTTATTAGCATCTGACTTAAAAAGCCAATCACCACCAAAATGGCCTTGTTCATAGTCTCAAAGAGGAAGGAGAGGGCTCCAATACCATTTATTTGCTAAACGCTTTCCACCTTCCAGTCAGAATCAATCTTTCCCTCCTATTTATATTTTGATTGATACTCTACGTAGTCATTTCCACGGGTTATTAGACTAAGTTCTATGAAGTTATAAAAATAATTGAATTCTAGGGGCCAGCAGGTGGCCTGGTGGATAAGGTAGTAGACTCTCACATGGCTGCCATAGTTCAAGTCCTGAACCTGGCAGCTTGCTTTCTCACTTTTCCTCTCTCTCTCTGGTAGGAGCATGTGCCCTACGGCAAATTGAAAAGTAATAATAATAGAGACCAGAAGATAGTGTAATGGTTATGTCGCTGGACTCCCATGTAGTTGACTGAAGTTTGAATCCCAGACCTGGTGGCTTAGAACTCACGCTGGGTGCATGTGCATGCATGCTCAAGATCTTGAGAGGAGAATGGAAGAGAAGGGATTACAGCATGGCCATTCCCTCTGGGGGTGATTTCTTGCTTTCTGTCTCTCTGTCTCTACAGCAAGTACACATGCTCTATTGCAAAAATCTCTCTTAAAAATAAAATTAAATAAGATAAAATAAATAATTCTTAAAAAAACCTGAAATCCAAAGAATTTTTAAATCTACATTGGATTATCTGGAAAGTCATGACACATTTTTGCACAGAAAAACATGGAAAAATGTGCCATGACTTTCTTGACAACCTAAGAGCACTAGTACCTAGACTCTTAAAACATTAAAAATATTTACCACTTACAAAGAGAAAAAAGTGGCTATGAAAACCAGAGTCATTTCGCTAGGAAGATAAAAGTGGTCATTACCTGATTGTTTTGCCGATTGGCCCCCAGGAGGAAGCTGATCATGTGTCTTAGCGCTGAGTGCCTCAGAAGGAGATCTCCAGCCCTGATCCCTTGCTGTCACAAGAGAACGAGAATGACAAATTATACTTCTAACCAGAAAAAAGTTGTTTTAAAAACACAGCTGAATGAAAAGTTTTGAGAAGTCAATATATTGCTAAATGCTATAACTGACATATAAAAAAGTACTTGTTGAAATCTAATTTTAAAAACTCTTGAGCCTCACTTTGCTTTGCAATGAATACTAAGCAGACGATTAACCATTCATCTTAATGCAGACTTCTACTGTTCTCAGAGAGTAAGTATACGAGCCTGAATCAAAGTAGTGTGAGGGGTCTTCAAGAATTCATGGAAAATGAATTCTACGAAAAAAGTATGCAGAGATTTCAAAATTTTTACATGAAAATAAACTCATACTTTAATTCCATTTTCCACAAACTTTTTGCAATCCCCTTATATAATCTACCTTTAAGATTTTTAAGAAGAAACACTCAGAAAACCACATCATATAGAACCTATATGGATCAAGCTAAAAATTTTCCTTGTATAACATTTCTTTAGCTTATAAATCTGCTTTATTGGAAAAAGGTATTGGGAAAAAAAATCATTTACCTTTTGTACAAAAGTGTTGAACAGGAAAAAATACTGAGCACAATTTTTACAATTTTCTGGGACATCTTTATCCAACAGAGCAAGCAGTACCTCCAGTAACTGATGAAGGCTTTTTAACTGGTAAGAGGAAAAATGAAATTACATAAAGAAAAATAAGATAAGGCAGATGTTTGTAACAGGGATAAAATAAACCACCATAAGAACAAAAGAGAAGTCTGACTGATACAATCCAGTCTCAGATTCATTGGATTTATGCTTTGGAGAACAAAACCAAAATGAACAGTTTTTACCTTCCAGAGAAAGACTGATACTGTTAGGATAATTAAAAGGAAAGCCTAGTTTTACTTCCTAGATTCAGAGTCAAGGGCAGGATACTGCTGCCTGAACATCACATTTTCTCCAGAGCCAATTTCTCTCTTACAAAAAGGTGAGGTGTTCAGTGGAGACATATTTCTGAATCCCTCCCTCCACTACGCTACTTCCTCACATAGTCACAGATGCAAAGAAGAAACACAGACACAGGCATAGGGCTGGAGGTCAAGCCAAGGGAGCAATGGAGCGCAACAGCCTGACAGGACAACGGTGATACCGACTCAACTGGGAACTTACTTGAAAGCCCGCTGACGCCTCATGGAAAGCTTTGAAAAACATTTTATTTGTTTAGAAACCATTTTGGTTATGACATTGCTTCTTCTTTCCCTCCCACCCCAACTGCTTTTGGATAAGTCCCTCAAAATTCCTCTGTGTTTGAAAATGAAGACTGGGTGTACTACTCTTCCTAGCTCATTTCTTCTGAAAATGGGACTCACAGTCTTGAAGTATTCCCATTCATCCTGTCACACCCATTACAAATACAGTGAAACTGAGCATTTACATAGCGCTTCATTTTCAAAGTACTTTACAATATAAAGTGGGTGGCAAGAGGCCACTATATTCATTGGGGGGAAAATCGACATGAAAATCTATCAGCTGGATATTCGGTAGAATCCTCAGAGGCCATGGCTTTTATGTTGACACCCTCCACTCCCTGCCCCTTCCACCACCTGCTGTCCTGCCCTTAGAGGTTGGTGGGCTAATATGCTCTGGCCTGACCCCATCTGCAGGAAGACAGCACTAATTCTACCTTAGCCCTTGGTATGGGTTGGTACATGGGCTTAGGGAGGAGAGTGAGATCCTAAGGATTCTTTATGCTTAGAAAACGTCTACAGGGTATCTCGGAACAACTTCCTAAGCAGCTCCCAATGATAAACTGTTCATATTCTGTATCTAGGAAAGGTTTTGTCTAAAAAAACGTTTTGCTTATTTAAACTCATCAGAAGCCACTGCCTCAGAATAAATCCCAACTTCCTGATTCCTGGAATTGGGAGACAGTCCTCTTCTTGAACCTTCCTATATCAGGGCATAGATGGCCTCCTTATTGATTTTGGACTGAACAAAGCACTGGTCTAAGAGTGCATCCTGCGTCAGGCCATGCTGAAGGAACTAAGTGCTTGGGTACCAGGTACTGTATCTGGACCAGCGTCCTCCTTATAGGACTTGCTCAAGGTCGTACAGCAAAGTCAACATCTGAAATGGAAGTAGCAATTCCTAGAACTTGTATTTGGTTCACTGAAACACAGTGCCTCCTGCCAATGTTTATAAGAAGCCAATTTGTTCTGAAAGTAATATTTTTCAAAGTTTTCCATGTAGTATCAGCTGTTTGAAACAGCAAACCTGGGATTTAAAAACAGACTGAATGATCAGATTTACAATATATGCCATTTACTTCCCTAAGACTTAAAATCTCTGGGGATCAATGATGGTAACAAACACCATGGTTTGTTTTAGCATGTGTGTATGTGCAATACTGAACCGGAAAATATGGTGTGGAAAATAGGGTCAGGAAGAAGAAATTCAAAGGGACAGGAACAAAGATTAGGGAATAATGAAGATCCACGAAGGAACTAATTTTGGACATTGCACCTGCATGAATGGCATGATTGGGTCTCATTACCAACTGCAGGTTTAGCTCTGGAAAACAGTTTATGAAGAAAGAGAGAACACCAGGTGTGGCTTGAAACATCTGTTGGTGTAGACGAGAGTTTCCAGACCCAAACTAGTTTTAGTTTACAACAATTTAATACAAATGCTTGAGAGAGGAGTCTGAGGAGGGAGTATTCTAGAGAGAAAACCCTAAATGCCTTGCCTACGCTGGCTTCTGGGGCTGTGAAGAGGGGACAGAAGGCCTATTCCAACATGCATCAGAAAGTCCTGGAAGGTACATTCATGTGCAAAATGGCCAGACCAATCCTAGGCTCTCTTTCTTACTACCTGCAATTTAAGGCATTCAGTAAACTCGGAATATATAAACAAAACTGTGAAAATGAGACCGACCTTATCCTGATAAAACAAGGCACTGTCTAGGGCTTTCTCCAGAATGGTGGCCACAGCAACTCGTACTTCTCTCACACTGCACTCCAACAAGAAAATCCTACAGTAAAGAGGAACGTGATGTAAAAAAGCAAAACAGCTTTCTGTTACCCCAACCTTGAACACAGATTCCCCATCAATATTCACGACACAAAACTACTCAAAGGTATTAGTTCGAGTCTCCTGAGAGCATGGGCACTCTTGCATGGGCCTCACAGAACTTTCTCCATTTCTGCTCATTCCACCCAACTGTTACTATGTACCAGCTGCCTAATTTACGGTTGTTCAAAATTCACTCGACTCTTAGTGTCAACTATACAAGAGTATAAAAGGTCACAAATACTACCTTAATGTTTCGCTGTAGAGGCTCAACCAGATCCAGGTCCAAGTCTTTAGAAAACATTTGGGGTGTACACATTTTCTGTCATAACACATTAGGAGGCCCCAGGAGAATGCAAACAGATCCAGACCATGGTGAGTTCCACAGGGTAAATGGCCAGTTTCCTCCCCAAATATATGCCATGACAGATATGATGGCAGTGGGGCAAAGGAAGGACTGATGATTAAGAGAGTCTGCGGGGCTCTATGGCCTAGTGAAGGCAGCTGGATACCGCACAGACAACTGCGATCCCACGTGACTGACCAAGTGGTTTGGGTCCCAGACCCTGCAGCTTGAAAAAAACACACTGGGCACATGTGCGTGTATGCCCCAAATCCTGAATAAAGAAATGGAGAAGGGACTGTAATGGGACCAGTCCCCATGAAGGGTACTTTCTCCCCTCTCCCTCTCAAGCACATGTATACTTTTGCAAAAAAAAAAAAAAAAAAAAAGAGTCCTAAGAGGCATGGAAACCAAAGGCAATGAGTGGACTTTGCTGGATCCTGATCTCTACACACTCAACAGTAATATGACATTTCTGAGACCTCTGAGAGAAATCAAAACATGGACTGTGGATAAAATGGGATGAAGAGATCATTGTAATTCTGTTTTGTATGATAACAGTAACATTTTTTTTTTAAAAAATTCACCTGTTAGAGATAGGTGCTGAAAAATTTATGTTTAATGTCCAAAATTTACTTTAAAATACTTCAGAGTTAAAAAAAAAAAAAAAGCATGCCTGTGAGTTGGAATAGGTAAGACAAGTCTGGCCAAATGTTGACAACTTGAGCTGGGAATGGATACAGGAGGGGGTTCATTATTTTGTTTACTTATGTGTATGTTTCAAGATTTCCACAATACAAAATCTTGAAAAATGTAAAGTATTCCTCATATTAGCAGTTTTCACTTCTTTTGTTTAAAGTTTACTCCTTCTGACAGAGAAACGGGGGGAGGAGGGAAGGAGAGAGAGGGTAACACCCCTTACAGGGTCCTCTTGTCACAATCTACCCCCAGCCAGCCAGGATCACAGGCACACACTGCCCGGGGTGTAGAGGGACACCCTGGGACGGCCCTGGGACCTGCCCAGCCTCCCCGTGCGGCTTCAGTGTGGGGAAGTGCTGCAGTACTGCTGTGCCACCGCGGCGGGTCACTAGTGTAGCTTCCTTAGGTCACTATGGAAGCAACATTACTACTCATGTCATTTTTTTTTTTTTAACAGTCATAACCACATTCTTAAAAATGCCTAAAAGGAGGTCTACTATTAAAAGACCTTTACAGTTCTTTATAGTTCTTCATATTTATAGTTACTGAAATATCAGGGAAGTCCAGTATATAGAGTATATATATATTTAGTTTTAATAATGACAACATAAACTATCTTAAAGATTTTAAAGAAATAAATAATTAGGGGGACTGGCAGACGGCACAGTGGTTAAGGGCGCTAGACTCCTACAAGGCTGACTGTGGTTCTAGTCCCAGACCTGGCGGCTTGCCTTCTCACTTTCTCTCTCTCTCTCTCTCGGTCTGTCCCTCTCTGGTCAAATGAAAATAAATAAATGAATAAATAAAGTTAAATAAAGTAATTCCTAAAAACAAGAAATAAGTAATTAGAGGAATGAGACAAACATAAAAATTCATAGTAATTGACAGTGATGAGTAATTAATTGGTCCTTATAAATACATAAAATAAATTCTATCAGAAAGAATTTAAATTAGGTAATCCACTGGGATTCTTGACCACCAGGAACACTAGGAAATGGAAACATACTACCAAAGGAAATTAGAGTTTCTCTGGAGACACTTAAAAGCAAGCCTGCTTGGAGGTAAGAGAATGAATAAAATATCTGTTATGTTCCTTTCAAATGGATGGTGATTCTGACATCCTTTTTTTTTTTTTCTTAGAGACTGTTGCTTGCAAGAGACAGACAGAAAGCGAGAAATTACACCCCCTCCTCCCCCCCCAGAGATGGCCACGCTGTAATCCCTTCTCCTCTAGTTTCCTCTCAGGATTTTGGGCATGGACACATATGTGCCCAGCGTGTTTCAAGTCACTGGGTCTGGGACTTGAACCTTGGTCGACTACGTGGGAGTTCGGCGACATAACCATTATGCCATCTGTTGGTCCCAAATGATTCTGATATTCTAATGCCTAGTGCAGTACTCTGGAGTCACATTGGAAAGACATTTTGGAACTGAACTGAGAAAACGGCTAAAAGTTTATCTCAAATGCACGGTAATGCTTCAAAGGAACGTTAACTTTCTTTTATTGGCTATATGGAGAATTCAGGCATACGTGAACAAACACTTGAGTGCTATACTATTTGCCAGACTGTGTACAGCAGGAAATCCAATGGATTTGGCTTTTGGTCTTAAGAAATGGGAGGTTACTGAGTGAGACAGGCAAAGCGAAAGGGAGCAGGCCAACAGAGCAAACGTGCTTTGGACTGGTCTCTCAGTACCATCCAGGCCGACACCCGGAGGAGGAGAAGGTGCTGACTATACCAAGAACAGACCGAAATGCTCCAGACAGAGGGATTACTGGTGCAAGGTCTTTGGGCAGGAAAAGAGCTTAGCACGTTTGAGGAACCAGAGGCCAGTGTGGCCTAAGCACACGAAGCTAGGAGGAAGTGAGGTCAGGTCAGCCTGGAAGGACAAAGACCAGACCAAGCAGGGCCTCATGGTTTACAGCGAAAATTCTGAATTTTATTGTAAGTATGATGGGAATCCACTAAAGTTTTTTAAAATAGAGAAGTCATATGATCTAATCCGTTTCAGAAAGAACACTTGTGGTGCTGAATGACATACATTACAAGGAAAAAAACAGATGTCGAGTAGTCAGATGAGTGTTTGGAGCTTAGACCTAGACAGGAAGGGGCTATGGGATCAAGAATTTTGATTAGATCTCTAACTTATCAGCACACTGCGATCACCTTGTGGGAAGGGAACTGCATTTCTGAATCCTCTGCTGGGTGTTGATCCTGAGAGATATCAGAGCATGTATACATATTAGGCTCTTTTCTTTTTTTTTTTTTTTTTTTGGAGAGGTTTTCGCTATAGGGTGCGTGCGCTCGCCAGACAGACAGACAGAGACATAGAGACAAAAAGCGAGAAATCACCCCCCAGGGGGGATGGTCACGCCGCAATCCCTTCTCCTCCATTCTCCTCTCGGGATCTTGGGCACACATGCGCACGCACACGCACCCGGCGTGAGTTTTAAGCCACTGGGTCTGGGACACGAACCACGGTCGACTATGTGGGAGTCCAGCGACATAGCCATTACGCTAACTGCTGGTTCCCATTTTAGGCTCTTTTATCAGAGCCTGATAAAATTCTAGAAGGTAAAAATGCAGAGATGAGTGAGATAACGAAAGGGCCAGCTTCCCTGGTAAGTTCTGCACGTGCAGAGACTCATTCTCAGAGAGAGCAGCTCCTTCCTAGCAGCAGGAGGAAAGGAAGAGATGGGCGCAGACTCTGGCAGGTGTGTGGAAACTGTGACGAGGCTGAGAAAGTGCTCACTTATGAATCTGCTTTCTCACTGAAGTCCAGGTCATTGGCTAGAGTGAGGGGCGGAAGGGAGCTGACATGGCAAGTCTGAGGGGTGAGGAACAGGAACAACAGAGGCAGAGTCCAAGAAGCGCCTACTGTGGAAGGGAGATGGCACACTGAGAAACTGAGGTGTTTGCTGGTTCCCCCTGTAAATGGTGAAGTCCCAAAGGACAGGAGAAGCTGACTCGAAAGTAATTCATAGTACAGTGTAAGCACTCAGATTGCTTCATCACGAATTTATACCTATAATGGCAAATAACATTTTAATTATAGCCACATAGTTAAATGCATAGGTAATGTACTATTAGATTTTGAAAAATAATTGTTTAGCCAGAATCTAAACTCAGGGGGACAATACTGTGGACTATGTAGGAACTTAGGGTTGTTCACCTCTTTGACTTGCAACCAGGATGTGAGTCCTGAAGGAAGGGGCCTACACTCCGGACAGCTCTGAGGCCCAGCAGGGGTTCTGGCCCTGACAGCCTGTGAGCTCTGCACGATCTGCCTCACACTGTCTGTGCAGTTGTTGCACACCTGCCTGAGTCTAGTCCAACAGAGATGATCTGGGAGGGACCTGAAGCATTTCCTCACTGCTTTGGTGAAGTAAGTTTAGCATGGACCCCAATGAGAAATAACTTCCATTTGAAATAAACAGTTATAAACCTTGACACTTACTTTATCAATTCTCGACCTTCAGAACTAACAAAATATTCAACTAGCCACTGACACGCGTCAAAACTTTTTGAAAGTAATGCTTCAATAGTAGCGATCCATTCTTCAGTGTCAACCCTTTATAAAAAAAGAGCAGAGACGGCAACATTAGTAGAGCCCTAGCAATAAGCCCACGGAGTGTCACGTATGCACCTGTCTACCCATGTCTCTACGCAAGCATCCTTCCACATATCCGTCAGTCAGAGGGAGGCGGAGGGAAAGGTGAAATGCTCAGTGGCAGCCCACCAACTAGCCAACACCTGTGGCACCCCCGAAGACAATGCTTGGCAGTCTTTGCTTAGTTACAGTGCGCCGCTTCCTTCCTTTCTCTGACAAAAATGTGTAAAGAAGCTTAAGTGTTAGACTTTCACTTTTATATTCTGCATCTGCATCAAATCTCAATTATAAAAAAAGGTCTGACCCACAGTATTTTGTTTTGTTCAGTTAATTTACACTCACAAAATGCTCACTTTTGGAACTGCTTGCATCAACATTTTTGTACTTTATTGCTACAATCATTAATATTCTGCTTTATGGGGACCAGCAGATGGTGTAATGGTTACATCATTGGACTCCCACATGGCTGAACGCAGTTTGAGTCCAAGACCTGGTGACTTGAAATTCACATTGGGCGTGTGTAGATGTGTGCCCAAAATCCCGAGAGGAGACTGGAGAAGGGATTGTGGCATGGCAATCCCCCCCTGGGGGGTGATTTCTCGCTTTCTGTCTCTGTATTTCCAGAGTGCACATGCCCTATAGCACAAATCTCTTAAAAAAAAAAAAAATCCTGCTTTATGGAATAACAATATCAAGGGCGAAAAAAGACATAGGGACCACACTATCCATGACCTCACTCCACTTCAAGTCCCCCAGTGCCCCCAAAAGGCAGACAAAACAGAATGGCAATCACATGCAGTGTACAGACGGCAAGCGCTAATTTCACAAATAAAAGTAATCAACTAAGTTTCCTTAATTCTCTGCCAAACATTAAAAGAAAGGATCAGAGTTTTCCTTCTTTTTTAATCAAATGATAAAGACTGAGATCACAAACCATATCTTTGATTATAACACATAAAAATAAAGTTGCTGGGCTAGTCCTTCCCACTGCCTGGGAGGCTGGGCCACACAGGAGGCCCGGTTTCCTTCCTGGGCCAGCCTGAACATACTGAACATGTGTGCATGTACCCGTAACTCTGGCTCTGTGGGACACCAGGGCAGTAGTATTGTGACCCTGTGGCAAGACCCTGTCAAAAATATCTACCTGCCTTTCTTCTTTTTCCTCTCTCGCACTATTTTTGTTTTCTTCCTAAGAGTTTCCTGACTGAAAAATCTTCCAAAAACCTCTCCATACTTGGGGGAGCTCACTATGCTAGCCAGAGGGAAAAGACTGAAAACCCTAGAGGTTTTCTAATTTAATCTGGTCACCTCACCCTAAGTCTCCCCTCACTCCAGGTATCATTCACAAACCACGACTCAACTACTCTTCATCCTTCACTCACTTATTCACAGAATGATGATCTGCCCAGGGCCTAGAAAGTGTCAGGCTTCCTCCCAGGTGCTGAGGATACAAACCAAAGAACAGGATACAGGCCACACCCAGAGCTTCTAAGGCAGCACTCTGAACATACTTCCCTGGGCAAAAGCCTCCTGTGTCTCCCACTCTCCTCTCTGGCACTCGGGGCACTCGCTGTGTTCCAAACCCAACATCTAGTCTACGCTCGAATAAGTCCCTCACAGCACTAGTGCAAGGCCTCAGTCAGTCAGCTCTTCCTGGCTCCTGACCAAGTCCTGTTACTCAGTTTCTTCCTGGGTCTAGAGTGACTCTTATGTGTTTCTTTACTTTTTGTCTTTCAAAATCCTCTAAGAATAGTAATGTCTTTAAAACTTCCTCCTTTCTTTTTTAAAAATTTTGCCAGATGGTGCATATGCTCGCTGGAGAGAGAGAGAGAGAGAGAGGGGAGGGGGGAGGGAGACAGGGAAAGTGAGAAAGCATGGGATTTTGGGCACATGTGCTCACAGTGTTTTTTCAAGCCACCAGGTCCAGAACTCAAACCGCACAGTCAACTGTGAGGGATCCAGCTGCCTTAACCATCATGCCACCAGCCGGCCCTTAAAGGCACATTCCAATCTCCATATCTGGATATGATTTTTCCCAGTTCCCAAAGACATACACAATTTAAGCTTGGCATCAGTTTTTTCCTTTCTATCTTTCTTTTCCATTAGGTTAGAAGTTTCTTAAAGATAGAGACCATGTCTTTGTCATCTATCAGTAGCTGTCTTCATAGTATTCTAAAATGCTAAATTTATAAGTTCAATTTTAAGTAACCACTGCCTATCAGAACACATCAGTTCTCACCTGAGTTTCTTCTTTGTCCGTAGGTATGTTTGAAAAAGGAACTGAATGGCAAGCTGTAGGCTCACCTTTGCCATGCAAGGATAATATGGATGCTTTAATTTAGTCTAAGGCAAGGGAGAAAGAAAAGAGGATTCTTTTTCATACAAGCTTTATAATTACATGTTGTTATGAACTGAATAATGATACACATAATAAAATTAAATACTAATACAGAAAATCTACCCACTACATTATAGAAAATGTAAATTCTTTTAAAATTTTAAAAAAGATTAAAAAAAGACATCCTCTTCACTTCTTTCATAAAGTCCTCTGAAAAGAGAGCCTTTGGACCACAGGATGTTAAGCAATCAAGAGACTCAGAATATTTTTTTCCCCTGTTGGCAAATTGTCATAATGGCTCTCAAGAAAAGGAAGTATGTGGAGGTTCATCTGGAGTCTGGTAAAATCTGACTACAAATTAGGAAAAAGTAATCTCCACAAAGCCCAATATACACGGACGTGACCTCACAACTACTCAGCCTCGTAACTACTCTTATATTCTTCATAAAATGTAAAAAGGGGCATTTTAAAAAGCCAGTACCTGAAAACCCACATACAACCTACATTATACATTATAAATACTGTCTGTGTTTTAACCTCACCCACTAAGTGATACAGTTATGGATCTAATCTAAATGCTAACAACCGAGAATGAGGGTGAGTCACTGAAGGCTGTGGCTCAAACGTAGTTACTAATGCTTCCTTATTTCAGTCATCTACTTACAGCATTCAATGAGGCTAAAGACAACACAAAACTGAAGTAATCACTACTGTAGACATCTCTATTCTTCATAAACTTGAGGTTTTCGTCTCTCACCATCTATGAAGGAAAATCAGTAATTATTTTTAAGAAATAGGATAAAATATTCAATACATAGAGAACATTTCTGGTGATATATTTAGGTAAAAAGAGTCTACAAAAAGTCAATCATAATTTATAATTCCCTTCTCTCAAGCATTGCATATTTAGAAAAGAACAGAGAAAAACCTTTCTTAAATATCAGATGCTGTATAAAAGGTGAAATTTTATTTTTATTAATAAAATAAAGCAAAGCCTGTGGGAAATTCAAGAAAATTACCACAAGGGAATCCTAATCTGGTTATTTTGAGTAGAACACTTTCCAAAGTGTGTGAAATGGCTTAATTCTCTCTTTGTTAATAAAAGATTTTCTTACTTTTCTTAAATTCTCTGGTTCCGGCTACTTAGCTTTTGATTAGTGCATGAAGTCTGGACTGAGTGGTTACACAGTTCTGAATTTAAATCCTTGCTCTGTGATACTGGCAGGTCATTTGTCCTTTACTGAGCCTTGGTTTTTCCATTAAAAAAAATGGGAATAAAACCTGCTACTCCCAGGACCAGCAGATGGAGTAATGGTCACTCACACTGGGTATATGTGCGTGAATGCCCAAAATCCTGAGCGGAGAATGGAGGAGAAGGGGTTGCGGTGTGGCCATCTCCTGTGGGGGGTGACTTCTCGCTTTCTGTCTCTCTGTTTCTCTCTGTCTCTTTGGCAAGCGAATGTGCTCTACAGCAAAAATCTCTCTACAAAACAAAACTAAGCAAAACATGCTGCTACTCTCTGAGAGTCTTTTGAGAATTAAAGACTTGTTTAAAGCATGTAGCACAGAGTAGGTATTCAATAAATAATGAACATCATTGTTGTATTAGTTTTACCCAAAGGCTATGAGCCTTAACATGTTTTTCTCTCCAGATAAAATAAGTTCATCTGAAGCAATGTGTTTCTACGCCCACTTCCTGTCTCATTGATTTGTGACTTCCTGCGATCACACGCAGGTCAGTGTCGGTGCTGGCCAGTTGTGAGTGTGCATCCTTATTTGTATCCCTGCCACTCGGTGCCACTGGCTCTCCAGCTACCTGTGAGACCTGAAGCACAAGACTGGTGAGACGAGGGGGCTGAGACGACGTGGCAGTAGAGGCATGGCTAACTCAGAGAGCAGCAGGAGGCCTTGAGCCCACAGGAGGAATCTGGACGCCTATCTGGATCTTTTCACTCAGAAATGTTTACGAGGTTCTTACCTGGTATATTCGAACAGGCATTTTCTCCACAAACAGCCCTTTCTTCTCGCCTTTTTTAACCAGCTTAGTTAGAATAGATAGCCGGTCATTGTTGGGTCGATGGGGCCGAGGAGAAGACTGAGGTGAAATTTCGGGTGAAGACGGAGCTGACCTAAGAGACAGAATGAGAAAACTATCTACTATACAGATTCTATTATTTTAGGAGTCACTAACACCTGCCAAACTTACATAACAGGGTACTAGATTTACACATAACTCACTTTCTTGATCCATAATATTAAAAGGCAAATTCACTGACAACAGAACCTTTTAAAAAAAATCAACAACTTTCTGAGTGTGGACACAGTACACTTTGGACATAAAGTGTATTCAATAAATGATGGCAAGATTCTTAAAAATATCAATTCTAGAATAAAGTAACTTATATGTATGCTTCTAAATACAAAGCATTGAGTCACTGGGAAAATCATGACACATTTTTCCATAGAAGACTATGTCATGGCTTTTCCGACAACCCAGTAACTTCTTGCCAAGAAAATAAAAACCAGAGGGCAATAAGAAAAGAATGTATTCATTTTCTTTTTAGAATTCTTTAGAACTTCTTTCTTGCTTAACTAATTATCTTTATCCTCAAAGATCACAACATCACCTACTGAATCATACAGCACATTATGCAAAAGAGAGACTTACAGAGAGAGATCCTCAGCTTCCTGCCGTACGACGCTGACTCGACTTTTCTTTGGTAACACTGGAGAGTTCTGATCAGACACCCTCTGGTAGAAAAGCATATAGGCATTCCAGTATCTTCGGCGAACATCGGTATATGGGTTGGCTGTGTAAAAGGACATTCAGAAAGAAGGCTTTGTAAATAAAAAGGATTTTCTTATCTAGACAATATAAGACAAAGGGTCCATAAATCCAGCAAGTGATCACTTACTGAATTTGCGAAATGCAAAGTGCAAGCAAAATGTGGGTTTTTTTTGAGTGCTGCTTATTGGGTTGTTGGGATAGTCATGATGCATTTTTGCATAGAAAACCAGAAAAATACGTCATAACTTTCTTGGGGACCTAAGGATATTTCAATTCTTGGACTAAAATAGGTAACTCACTTGGGAGGTAATATAGGAAGCCTGTAAGAAAGTTGTATGGTAATGAAATAAGGGAAAGAAGGTAAATATCTTAAGGAAGTCTAAATTTAAACAAAAGGCAGGTAACATTTAAGAAGATGTTGGTAAAGGATGGGATCATAATTGAACTCATCTAACCATTTCTGCAAAGATCAGCCGAATTTAAGCAGATTTTGGCAATAAAGCTATACTCAAGCTGTATGGCATCAAAATCTCATACAAGGTTACTTCTAAAAGGTTATGCAAAACGGAATTAAAGTTTGAACATTTTAAAATCCATGTGGAGGTTTTTTTATAATATGAATTTTCTATGCACTTTCTGAAAATCCCTTATATATTAGGCCTAATATGGGGAGAAGTTTAGAAATGCCTCTAGAAGATTCTAAGAACAGGCTTCAGAAATACTGAGCTCTCTGAAAAGTGTTTTTTTTTTTCCTTCCCTCCAAATTATAAACTCGAGTTTCTGGATATCCTTTTTTGCCCCTGGTAGTGTGGGATTGTACAGGGAAAGATTGCTTTGTCACACTGCAGAGTACATACAGTTTTAAAAACATAGGTGCTAGAAAGGTCTTCTTCAGTTAGTCATACCTCTACGACGAGTGAAAAGGAAATCCAAAAACTTCGGTGGACAACTACTACTTCTGAAACTATATATATATATACACACACACACACACACACTCACACACATATATATATATATATGTGTATTTTTTTTTTTTGAGAGAATTTTGCTATATGGTGTGTGTGCTCACCAGAGAGACAGAAAGAGAAACATCACCTCCTGAGGGAGAGATGGCCATGCCACAATCCCTTCTCCTCCATTCTCCTCTTGGGATTTTGGGCACACACACACATGTACCCGGCATGAATTTCAAGCTGCTGGGTCTAGGACTTGAACCATGATCAACTATGTGGGAGTCCAGAAATGTAAACATTATGCCATCTGCTGGTCTCAGAAACTATTTTTAAGATTTAAATTCTTTAGTCATAAGTTTCTCTTAATACAGTACTCATTTAATCTTAACTCTCCTTCTCCCACCTACCAAGGAATTATTTTTAAAATATATTTTTAAGTACTTGCTCTCAAAGAGTTCATGGTTCTATAGCTAGAGCAGCAGTGTTACAAAATAAAATCTATTGTATTTTTAATATAAGAATACTACTTTGATAAAAAATACGAAGAAATAAAACTAGTGAAAAATATTTGTAAATACTTACTTTGATCATAAACTTTTGGTCTATATTCTCCTCCAAAGCATTCATATTCCAGAGTCTCATCATTCAGGTCAAATTCTTCTATAACTGTGTCATTAAATTTATACCACTTTCCTTTTCCACACCCTCTAGATCCCAAAGAGCAAATGTTATAAGGTTAAAAACTAAAAATCTTCACCTCCAGGATTTATTTCTATGTTTTGTCTAAAATGAAGCAACTGATTACCCTTTAAAAATACCTAAGAAAAATGTAACAAGTTATTTCATTTTTTGGGAGAGGTTTTTGCTATAGGGCGCAGGTGCTCGCCAGAAAGACAGAGAGAGACAAAGAGAGAGAAAGCGAGAAATCACCCCCCAGGGGGGATGGCCACGCCACAATCCCTTCTCCTCCATTCTCCTCTCAGGATCTTGGGCATGCACAGACACACACGCCCGGCGTGAGTTTAAGCCACCAGGTCCGGGACTCGAACTGTGTTCGGCTACATGGGAGTCCAGCAACATAGCCATTACACTAACTGCTGGTTCCAAGTTATTTCAATTTCTAAAGCTTTTCAAATTGAAGGGGTAAAAATGAGTTACACCATGGTTTAAGGATTCAAAATGAAGTAAGATCAGAGAACAATGCAAACCTTCCCTTGCACCATAATGAAAAGCGCAGATCATAACGTAGGGAAGGGAGAGCAGAGAGGCTCCTGGCAGGGCGGGGTGAGGGCTGCGTGCAGAACCCTTACCGCCTGTCCTTGATGAAGGAGTAGTAGTGGCCCGCATGAGCCTGCCCACTGTGTACAATGACACCGACGAGTTCATAGTTTTCTGTGAGGGCAACTTTCTTTCGTGGGGATCCTCCGCCTCCCTGATCCATACTTCGCCCATTTTCACCAACTTCAGAAGATGAATCCTGGCGAGCCATTCCTGAAACTGTGTAAGGCTCCATGTTTAGCATCCAGGGAAACTACGGAAAAGCAAAAAGACCACATTATTGCTGATTAGTAAGGTATCTACGGCAGTGCCCAAGTCGGTTAGACGCAGGTGAGAAGAGCTGTTTTCCTAACTCGAGCTGGGAAACTACTTCTCCAATTCAAGTCTGGGAGAGTATACGTGGACTGTGGTTATTTCATGGCTATCACTGGCAGGCCTTCTAGAAACAGGTGCGATTGTTATATAGCTGCCTATTCCAGCTGCAGTTGTTCAGGACACTCGGAATGCTGAGACCACAGCCTTTCACGGGGTAGATGAAATTTGAAACAGAATGAGGAAAAAGTGAAGATGGGAGTGAAGTATTGGTTGTGAGAAATTTCAGGAAGAAAAAACTTACCCTTATTTGTTCATCATACTTGATGGAGCGTCCACTCTCCCAGTCAAATCCAAATCTCATCAGGTGAATTACCAAGACACTAGGTAAAGACTTAATACACGTCCTTTTCACTGTTATTCTCTAAAGAAAGGCAAAAGTTAATTACTGCCATAAAGGAAATGAAAAACAGAGGCATTAATGTAAAGGTTTTTCCCGCCCATGTTAAAACAAGTAATGACATAATTTAATGGAAGTAACAAGAGCTTTAATACTGACTTTACACAAAGATACAGACCAGAAAAACCAAATCAGTCATGTATGTTGAAAGCGCAAACGTCATACCTTCTCTTTACACTTTTCACAGTAGTATGCATTACTTCCCTCTAGAACTTCTCCTCTAACAAACTGGTCCAAAGAAATCTCCAGACTCTGACAAGAAGTAACTCCTAGGTTGAGGGCCATGAAAGCTTCTTCGCGCTCATATCTGATCAGGAAGTAGCAAAACTCACAATCACCGATGGAATCTAACACTCTTGAAATGATCACAATATCTGAGCTTGAACACAGACTGCATTCCTAATCAGTACAATTAATGCAACTTCTTTTTACCTTCTGAAAGGGTACTGGCAAACAAAACACCAATTTTTAACAATTTAGAATTGCTTAAAATTAGGAATTTCAACAACTATTTTCTTAAGATCACGAAGAAATTTTGGAAATGGAAACCAAAGAAACTTAATTAATTGAACATGCATAGATCCATTAAGAGACATACTTGTAAGTCTCTCAGTAAATGCAACATACTAGAAAAAACATTTAAAAATGATGATTATAATTTTTTACGTGTCAGTGTTATCTTCACCCACCTGTGAGGGCAGTCTTTACAGATCTTCTGGTCAGAATAGATGCCCTGAAAGGTGTTCTTAAAAATTTGGTCTCTTCCCATTTTCTGTTAGAATAAAAAAATAGAAATTTCAGTTGATGCCTTTAGAACTTACATGTTGTTTATACAGAATTGTATTTAATGTACATATTTCAACTTCACCACTAAGATAAAACAAAGTCATTCTGGTAGTCTCAGCTGGGAGCAAGGCGAAGGCTACATCCCATGCTTAGACCTGCTGTCAGAGTGACATGGACAGACGACGTGAGACCGGTCAGAGCTGAGGACAGGACAGTGTTCTCTGATGATTCTGAAACCTTCCCGCCCTGTGCCTCAATTACCAAGTCAGCAGCAACTGCCTACAACCTTCTGTTTGTTTTTGTGGACAGAAAGCTATGCCTTTATGAGTTACTCTAAAATACAAAATGGATAAACTGATGAGAGGCCAATGCTGGTGGGGGCAGCAGGCAATCCGAGAACCTGCCCCACATGATGTATTGGGCAGAGGCGGAGAGCTTTCAGTTTAAACATCACCACCAGTAACTTTTTACTGTGGTCCCCTTGTCCCTCTGCCAGAGGACTCTCCCGAGTTCTAACACTGCTCTGCAAGAGGCCATCTGTCCACTGGCGACCTCGCTCCCGAGACGAGGCTACTTCAGCGGTGCACTCTGAGAGTGTGTGGGTACAAACGGTTACTGCTGCATTGTACAGATTAAGAATTATGTACTTTATTGAGAGTTAGATGAGTTAAAAAGAAAATGAATACACAGATCTAGTGACCTGTATATGTTTTGAGGTTTGAACACAGAAGAAATGAATTCTAGTTGTATTAAAAATCATCAACTTTTGATCAGGCAGTTTCACAATGATCCCAAATCTTAAGACATTGTTCTCATATTAGAATGAGAGCTTGAGGGCAGCAGAGGGAAGGAGAGACTTTGATTACCTTGAGATATTCATCCATCTGATCAATGAGGCTAGTAAAGAATTCATAGGCATCCTGCTGTTCTCTCACATAGAGTTCTTTGTTCCACATCTTGAAAATCTACACGACAGGAATTACATAGGTTTTTAAAGCAAAAGTAACAACTTCTGAATATAGTAGAAAAGGAATGTGAAAGAGCACTTAAATGCTTCTAAAAACCAAGTTCACTATCAAGATGTGGAAGTTTTTGCTGTAGTGAGATTGGCTTGTGTTCAGTCATCTATGCTTTGTTGGTCTGAAACCAAAGGTGCATATGGGATGAGATCTAAGGCCATGGAACAGGGAGTTTTTAGAAACTAAGCAATCTCTGGGGGAAGACACAAAGTAATTCCTTTACATGATACACAGCAAAGCAATATTATAAAGTCATGTTCTTTAAGACATTAGTGAAACTCAGGGTGGAGGAATGGTTTGAACAAATATTTCAAACAGTTAAATAAGAATCATGAGAAATTATGAGAGAAAATAATTAAGATTAAAAGTGCCTCAGAATTATACATGACTATTCTCAACATTCAATCATGTACGACCAAGTTCCAGTTTTGACAGTGATATACCCATTTTGTATAGGTTCTTGGCAATAGGAGTGGTCTAGACTTAATAACGATAAGAAACCACTATCGCTAGGGGAAAAAAATGTAGCCAAACTCCAAATATCTAACATCTTAAAAGGTAAAAAGAGTTACTGAATGAAATACCTTCCAAAAGTTCTCAGGTACATAATATTGCAGCTTGCTTTCCATCAAATGCCCAAAGAGAGACTGAACTTGGTAAAATACGCTATCATCTGGGTTGTCCGTGTCGTCATCGACTGAAAGTAACGACTAAAAGGAAAAGAAACGCATCATGTGAGAGACACTTAGCTGTGTCCCAGGGAAACGTGGCCTATGTATACATACGTGCCTGCGTCTTTAGGCAGCTATGCAGGTGTGGACTGCATATGTTCAGCTTCAAAACTTCCTAGCTGGTGTCATTATAAACAAATTACCTTTTGGAGCTTCTGTTTGATTATGATAAACTGAAACTAGTAATACCCACATTTCTACAAAAAATAAATGTGACGTGATACATATGGAACATCTCAGAACTACTGACTGTAATGACATAAGCTATTACTCTACCACTATGGAGAACTGATGACAGTCTACATAGTTCCAAATACTAAAACTGTTAGCAATGTTATAGAACAGAATCTGAGAATAAGTATGGAGTTAAAAAAAATAATCAGATTAAGTCCATCTGTTATATAGGCACCACATTATTATAACAGCAGACTTATAAAAATGTGTGACTACGGGGGCCAGTTGGTAAAGTGGTTATAGCACTGGACTCCCACATGGCTGACTGCAGTTCGAGTCCTGGACTTGGCAGTTTGAAAATCATGCTGGGCATGTATGTGTGCGCACTCAAAATCCCAGGAAGTGAATGGAGAAGGGATTGCAGCATGGGCATCCCCCTGGAGGGTAATTTCTCACTTTGCCCTTCACTGTCTCTTTTGTCTCTCTCCAGCAAGGGCATGCACCCTGGAGGAAAACAAAACAAAACAAAACAAAAAACTAAAAATAAATAAAAAATGTGTGACTATAAACTACGTATATCTATACAGATTTCAAAAGCTACTAAAGATAAAGAGTCCCTAGCTATGTCTAGTTTTAGCAAACCCAAAAAGCAGTAGGTAAGCATGAAACAATTATCAGGCAATGCATACATTCACACCAAACAGGACAGAGGGGAGGAATCACCTCGGGGAGCCCAGGTTGCATATACAGCTGCTGGAAGACTGCATTCATGTAGCACGTAGCACCACCATTCCTCAGCCCCACGAACCCTGAGCTGGACCTGCTATCCACTGGGGGAAGGTACTGGGAGAGAGGAATGAAACAGAAGAGAAAGAAAATGAATGACCTCTGCCACAGCATGTTTCCACTCCATCTATACGAGATGTCTACGAAGAAAGAGACACACTCACAGATTAACCATCTGCTAGGAAAACCCATGTTCACGCAGTACTGCAGCTCGGGCAGTCACACAACACTGCTATCTCAGTGTTCCTTTTCTTGCTCGTGAAGCACCTGGCAATACTGAGTGTGTATCTATTTATGCAGACATGCGTTCAGTTACTTGATTACCATTTAACAAATATTTATGAAGGGTCTGCTACGTGTCAGGCACTGGATCAGGGATATAAAACAGACAGATGTGTCCACGGTCCCTGATCTCAAATTTACAGTCTAGAAGGGCACATAGATATGAATTAAGAGCTACATAAACAAACTAAGGCAGTGCTCTGGGAGGGAAAAAAAAGGTGGGCAATAGGGTTCTATAGTGTTTACCATGAAGAGTTCTGACTAGTCCCGGTGGTGAAGGAAGGCAGACACTTGTTACCTTCCTTTAGAGGTACATTCTTCTAGTAAACTCCTCCTAATAAGCATACAATTAAATAAATAGGTAAATATTCTACCATTTCATCTCCAGATGTTTTAAAGTAATGGAGATTCCAGTAGAATGGTTTTCTGGATAGAAACAATCCAGAAAAGACACTTGGGATAAAGTCCAACATGACACTTCTCCAAGTACAAAGGGTTTTGTAATTAGAGGCTTTGAAATGCTATTACCACAGGATCCTGGTTCTCAGGCTATGACCAGAATCACATTATCTGCACATATCGAGTTCCTGCATCCAGGGGATAACCAACCAGCCAGCAAAAACCTGTAAGTCTCTGGACCTTAAGAAATTGCCAAATAGTACATACTTTTCATTAATATCGAACATGTATTTGGAGCAAGATGATTTCTAAGATCTATTAGGTGGTTGGGAAAGTTGTGATGTATTTTTCTGTGCAAAAATGCATCACGACTTTCTCGACAATCTAGTAACTAACATCTGTAGCCGAAAGCATGGATTAAAAAAAAAATTACAAAATAAGAAAAACCGATCATTAAGAGTACAACAAATAAAAGCATGAGTATTTATTTAAGGCAAGTATTTTCTTCATTATGCTGATATAATCCTTGACTTTTTTTTAAAAATTTTTTCAGGTTTTTACCATAGGGTGGCACATGTGCTTGCTAGAGAGAGGCAGAGACAGAGGGAAGGGAGGTAGAAAGTCACTCCCTGGGTCCCCCAGGGGAAGACCACACAAATATCCCTTCTCTTCCATTCCCATCTTGGGAATTTGGGCATGTACATAGTGCGCCCAGTGTGATTTTCAAGCCACCAGGTCTGGGACTTGAACTGTGGTCAGCCACGTGGGACTCCAGCACCTTAACCACCAATGCCACTTGTTGGCCCAATCTCTGACTTTTGAAAAACTTTGAAATGTTGTTTTAATCTAATTATTAAATGCACATAAAGCTAAAAGACAGGATAATATTAACATTCTATAAACTAACTTTTTTTGATATTAAAATGGTTCCCCATTTATGTCTGCTCACTTTTTTTAGGTCTTTGTGCTATTTCCTCCGTCCAGCACACCTGTCCATACTTCCTTTCCTGCCTAACTTGTATGTTCCATATTATTCAGCTCAGGCATCCACAGGTTAAGCCTGACTTTCTACAATGTTAGAGAAGAATGCAGAAGCAGCTCTAAAAGTGCCCTCCCACCCTGGTCTGGCCTCTCAGGGCACCTGCAGCCCATTTCCCTTGTACATGCACCAGCAGATACGAGGCTATTTCACGTCCATGGCTTTGCTCGTATTCTTCTCACTGCTGCAGAAAAGTCCTTCCCTACTTGCTGCAGTTGGCATTTTAGTCCTTAAAGGCTCTATGTTAAGTTTCACCTTCTCTAAGTTTTTAAGATACCACTAGCCTATAGTGAAGTGCCCCTCTATGTCAGGAAAATGCAAACAAAGCCTTAAAATTTTCTTTAAGAGATAATTCTAAAAAAATACAGTGCATCCAGGTCTAGAAAGCTTACATCGAACTCCTTGGTAAGAGCAGGGTCGGGCTGATGATGCATAGACAGCAGTTCTTTTATGATGATTTGCAGGTTGGAAGGTGAACTATCCGCCAGCATTACGAGGACTTCATAGGCTGCCAGTCGGCTATTTGCTGTACTACACCTAGACACAAAAGGCGAAGTCAATTCCAACAAGGAGCCATCTGCCTAAATTGCTCACTACGTTAGCCCACACCCGAACGGAAGTATGAGAGTTATAATTCCTCAAATCAGTTAAGTCATGTCTAGCCCCAGACCTGTAGTAATCTAGAGGCCATGAATACAGAAGGGATGGATGTGGTTTAGAGCTAGGTATCTTCCTGGCCTGATGATAAAGCAGCAGAATTCTTTCACTGGTGACTACAGTAGATACCTTTCAATTAAAATAAGTAGGAAGAAAGATATTTTGTAGTTGTCACCCTGAAATTTGAATATCTAGCTAGCAGAAAAAAAGCTACGCAAATCAGAATACATAGATTCCTAAGCATCTTATGTTCCTAAAGATGAAACCTCTTCAAGGACACTAATCAACTATCCACTTTGCTGAAGACATGGAGGCAGTCAGTGTTCCATATCAATTTGTTTAAAGGGATGTAAAAGATAATTAGCAAGTGTTCTACAAGAAACCAGAGGCTTCCCGTTGCCTGCTTTTTTGGTAGAAATCCCTTAGAGGAGGGAAGGTAATTTCTCACTGTAACCTATGCCAGTCTTGCGTTACTGAGGGGCTCACAGGTTAGAAAGGATACACAGAAAAGAGGACGTCCAACCTCTGAGCAAAACACTGAGTCTGGGAGGGAATCAAGAGGCTGGTGAGGGGCCCTGCAAGCCGTGCTACAGCAGGAACTGAGGACAATGGCCACGGGGCTGGCACTGTCTTCTGCTTCTTGTCTGGACACCCGGGGTGCAAGGACAGGTAAGGAATTAATAAGGGGAGCCGTGTAACAGGCTGAACATTAAGAAGCTGTTTCTGTCATTTTAAGAATAGTGCTTCTTCTGGGACACATTTCTTTGTATTTTAAATCTTTCTCTAAGGTGTGTGGGTGGGGAAAGGCTGGGAGTCATTGTAATAAATGAGCAATTCCGTATACTGAAGAGGAATGAAACAAAATGTTTCATTTTCTACTCAAAGCACCAATTTTAAACAAATACCCCTTGTTGATGAAGATTACTTTGAATAAATAGAAAAGGGAAGGATTCATGAAGAAAAATTTCACTGAAACTGCTAAAGAGAATTCTTTTGTGTGGATTGAAAACCAACTACTCATGTACTTCATGTACTTTGGCTGCTTTAATAAAAGACTCCTGTGGACCAAGCACCAACTCTGCCAAGGTAAGACTGGAGCAGGGCTGGGAGCCACAGCTCAGGGCACGCTATGAGATGTCTAATGAGGGTTGTTCTTTTTGTTTTTACCTAAAACAGATTTTGCTAAAAAAGAGTAAGTAGAAAAATATTTCCACATGATGAGATACCTCTAAGATTCTACAAATACCGTTTATTATGCCTTGCCCATTTCACTAAGGAATACTGCACAGAAGTTCTTTTCACTGGAAATACGAAATCCCTGGTTTCTTCAAAATGACTCATTTAACTGTTTTTTTTTTTGTTTTTATTTTTGTTTTTTTTTGAGAGTTTTTTTGCTATAGGGCACGTGCGCTTGCCAGACAGACAGAGACAGAGAGACAGAAAGTGAGAAATCACCCCTCAGGGGGGATGGCCACGCCACAATCCCTTCTCCTCCATTCTCCTCCTGGGATCTTGGGCACGCACGCACACGCACCTGGCGTGAGTTTTAAGCCACCAGGTCCGGGACGCAAACCGCGGTTGACTAAGTGGGAGTCCAGCGACATAGCCATTACACTAACTGCTGGTCCCTGACTCTGGTTTTCACAAGAAAAGAACAAGGTCAGATTCAGAGCCAATGAGATGGCAGCAGGTAAGTGCCTCTGTCTCCTACTGCCAAGATGGTACATCACTCAGGGAGGGCCGACGCTACAAAGGATCTTCAGGTTTCTACCCATATAAACGAACACAAAATTTGATTCCCCAAATCACTCTTTTTTATGCTACTAGCATGCAGTTATTGAATACGGTTAGCACTCATACAGCAACGCTCATGCACTAACCCACCCATCCTTTTCTCCTAAGAAAACCCTCAGACTTTACTGAGAGCTCAGGTACTTTTACTGTGTTCGTAATTAGTTTCTTTTGGAATCTGGTCCTGACCGAGTTAACCACACTATTATTTATCCTTCCATCTGACGATCACCGACCCGCTCCACGTGAGCGATGTGCCAGGCAGGCTTGACGCCACGCTCCTTCGCAGGCACGTCTCTACACCGTGGGTAACATCTTAAAGGAAACACAGACTCTCAAGACGGAACACAAACTCCAAGGTAAGAAAAATCTTTTTCAACTAAAGTTTCAAATTAGAATTTTTACCAAAACTGAACACAACGTGCATTTTCCATACTTTGGATGAAAGTCCTGTTGACTGATGGCGGCACTGCCAGCTGGAGAATGACTATTTAAAATAATTCTAGAAGCTCGGAAAAGGAAGTCATCTAACAATGGTTTAATGAGTGATGAACCTGGAATAGAGCACAGTATTCATGTGAGGATGAGCACATATTTTAATTCAGAGTTCCTATCTTATACTTCTCTATCAGAGCAGAAGAGGCACCCAAGGTCACCCAATGGCAGGGCGCGTGGTGGAATTAACGCTCATCTTTTGAACTAAAGCTCTGTGCGGTGGAGAAGCAGGGCCAGGAAGGCAGGTGGAGGGTCAGGGGACAGGATACAATGATAGACATGTCAGGGGCCTTGCTTACTTTATGAGCCCAAAACACAGCGAAAGGAATGAGGCTGTCACTTTAGAAACACCAGAGCCAGGAACGCTACAAGGCAATGGTTTCAGTGAAGATTAATTCTTACTCTGGGCACAGGGGAGTCCACAGAAGGGTTTTTGAAACTTCTAAAACCTTGCTTTAGGTAAAAACGATCTGCCCTTCTCTCTCTGGATAAAAATCACTCTTTTCTACGTATCCCCAGGAAAGAAGATTTTGTAGAGCTTAGTTCGTGTTCTGATAGTGATCACTCAATTTTTCTTTGCTTTCTGGATTATAATCTGTGATGGTGAACATGCTTTTACACATTAATATGTGCCCCAGGAGAATCTCCTTTGCCCACCACTAGTCGGGATGGATGACCTGGGGGCTGCCTCCCCAGCTGAGAATCACCCTTAAAATGGAAGATATAGAGTAGAATATATATTATAAAGTACATAATAGCAAAAAGGGACAAAAACTAATTTGGAATGAATTTTTATATGGCATTATGAAGTGACACGATCCAAGTGTTGTAAACACTGTAAAATTCTCAGTGTGGTTCCACGGCACAAGGAGAAAGACCTTAAGTTTATTAGCACTAAAGTTTCAGACAATTTCCTACTGCCTGAAGGGTCCATTTTCCACGGAACACTTAGCACCTATCTTACTTTCCCAATTACACACACCACTACGGCAATTACTGAGAACGGGGGTGCTCGGCCACACGCTAAGATAAAGCAGTCATTACCCAGCATTTCCTTCTCTGCCCCGCAGAGGGAGAGCAGCGTCTTTATGAGCCGTAAGTGTCCTGCCAATAAGATGTTGTCAGCTTCACTGGTCTCACATTCAGCTGTGCGATTAGGTTCAAAGTTATCCAGCCAAGTAATCTCATCTTCAAGCATGGTAGCAGGGCTGATTCTTAACTGCTCCATTTCTGAAGCTAAGAAGGGGGAAAAAAATGTCCATTACAAAAGTTTCCTTTCAAGGAGTCAAAGTCCTGGATTAAAGTCAGCAAAGTCACATCCCAACTTTCACTTCAAGATCTCAAAAAAATAGTCATTAATGAACAGCAAGCTTCAGCAAGCCCACGGCACCTGGGATGAATCCCTTATCCATAAACAGGTCATCCCCTCAGTACGGGTCACTGTGCTGAGACAGAAAATGAAGGTGATCAGCCAATGTCCTAGGAACAAACCCTTCCAGAGAAGAAGGGGTGGAAGGAGGTGAGGAGGGCCATATTTAAGTCGAGGAAGGGCAGGGTCCGGGACAGGAGAGAGACACCCCTTTCAATAACAGCCAGTTTGGTCTCTAAACAATGAGCCGAGCTCCTGAGAACTGCTGGGTTCTTTAAAGCACAGTTCTACCCTGCATGCGGGACTGGGGAGGAGTGGAAGTGTGGTTATATGCTACTTCCTCTGTACTATGGCAAGAAGCAGGCAGGGTCCCTGCAAGGTGAGGTGAGGAGGGGTACTTTACAGCCAGTGAGACGGATCAGCACCCATGAGAACGCTGTCTCTAACTTTTTCACTGTGTGACCTGCTCTCTCCTTTATGCCATGGGGCGAACACTTAGACCACAGGGGCCTGTATGTAGTAAGCCTACTGTAGGCACTGGCTTATTTTATGATTAGTTTTTGAGAGAGATTTTTGCTATAGGGTGTGTGCGTTTGCTGGAGAGACAGGGAAAGACAGAGACACAGAAAGTGAGAAATCATCCCCTCCCCCCCACCAAGGTGATGGCCACACCACAATCTCTTCTCCTTCATTCTCCTCTTGGGATTTTGGGTATGCATGCACAAGTGCCCAGAGTGAGTTTCAAGCCACTGAGTCCGGTACTCAAACCGTGGTTGGCCATGTGGGAGTCCAGCGACATAAGCATTATGCTATATGCTGGTCCTGGCACTGGCTTATTAAAAATATTCCAAAATCAGGACCAGCAGATAGCATAGCAGTTAGGTTGCTGGATTCCCACGTGGCTGACTGTGGTTTGAGTCTTAGACCTGGTGACTTGAAAATCACACCAGGTGCCTATACATGCGTGTCCAAGATCACAGGAGGAGAATGGACAAGAAGGGACTGCAGTGTGGCCATCTCTTGTGGGGGGTGATTTCTTGCTTTTCCTCTCACTGTATCTGTCTCTATCTGGTGAGTACACACACCCTCAGGCAAAACCTCTAAAAAACACAAAAAACCTCCAAAGTCAGCAAATATGGTTTGTTTCAAGATGTATTACCTGAGTATTAATCCCACTGCCCCGCCCCACTTCTAAGATCCTAATAGGACATCCTGACTCCCTCATTATCATTCAGCAGCACAGGGAAGGGCTATGCTCAGAACCTGCTCATTCGTCTGGAAGGTGCATGTGTTTAGCTGACGCAGGATTCCAGGCCTCAGGAAGCACAGCAGAAGGCAAACCCCCATGGCTGCTGCCCGATGGTCACTGGAAGCCCGGCTGGAAAACCAGCCGCATGTCAGATGGATTGCAGTCCATTCACATCTCTAGACACGACACATCTTATCCCTGAATCAGGACATACACGCGGACTATTATTTCTGTCTCCAGCAGAACCAAGTGCACCGCATCGCTCAGAGAGCTGCGTCTTCAGGTTGTGACACTCCAAAGGGCCTTTATGTCAGAGATGTGGCCGAGAATGTCAGTCACTAGATCTTTACATGTCCAGGACATGAAGATCTTTGTAGAAAATCTCTTTTAGACTTAATGCTAGGGAAAAGGTTTGCTTCTTTGGAGAAACCTGTTTTTGAGGAGATCATGAGAAAATTCTGTTTCTTCTTAGAGTTAAGAGACAATGAACCTTATTGTTTTCTTTTTACCTTGGCCTCCAGAACCCTCAACCAAATTTTGACTGTATGGGGCTTTACAGTCTGCATATATGCAAGGTATATATTTTATTCCTGGTCTTGACATCCTTTTGCTGTTGCTGTTGATGTTTATTTTATTTACTTCCTGTAAGTTGAAGCAAATTCTTTGTGTAAAGAGTGGGTAATAAATTAACAAATTCCCTCTTTTTTTTTTTTGGAGAGGTTTTCGCCATAGGGCGCGTGCGCTCGCCAGACAGAGAGAGACATAGAGACAGAAAGCAAGAAATCACCCTCCAGGGGGGATGGTCACGCCGCAATCCCTTCTCCTCCATTCTCCTCTCGGGATCCTGGGCACGCACGCACACGTGCCCGGCATGAGTTTTAAGCCACCGGGTCCGGGACACGAACCGCGGTCGACTACGTGGGAGTCCAGCGACATAGCCATTATGCCAACTGCTGGTTCCCACAAATTCCCTCTTTTTTAAGTAATCTTTTTCATTGCCAGAGGGCATGTGCCCTTGCTCACCAGAGAGGGAGAAAAGAGAGAGGGGAAAGCGGGGAGAGAATCCCCTCCCACAACAGGGCAAGGTCATGTGGCAATCCTTTTTCCTCCACTTTTCCCCCCATCAGGATTTTGGGCATGATGCACATGCAACCAGGATATTTGTTCAAGCTGCCAGGGCCAGGATTTGAACCGCAGTCACCCACATGGGATCTGATGCTCCAGTGCACAGCACTTAACCCTGCGCTGCTGGGTGGGACCTAAACCAACAAACTCTTGATCTGAACAACTAAAATTTATTAAAAAAAAAAAATTCAATATACATCAGCATTATTTAGGGTAAGCATGGAAGATTAAAATCTCAACACTAAGGGGCCGGTTGTTAGGGGCACTGGACTCCCACATGGCTAACTGGTTTGAGTCCTGGACCTGGCAGCTTGCTTTCTCACTTTCTCTCTCACTCTAAACCTCTCTGGTCGAATTAAAATAAATAAATAAATTAAAAAAATTCTCCGAGGGGAGAATGGAAGTGGAGAAGGGACAGCAGTGTGGTCGTCATCCTCGAGGGGCAATTTCTCGCTTTCTGTCTGTCTCTTCAGCGAATGCATGCGCCCTATAGCTAAAATCTCTCTTAAAAAAAAGAAAACAAAATTCAACTTTAAATAATAATTATACTCTTATCTACACCTTGGATATGAAGTGAGATTTAGAAATGTTCACCTGGCTTTCCTGTCTGTTCTTCCTCTCCCCAACCCACCCAAAACCAAATCAAAGCGAGACAGTTACTTACTTGTCAGATCATCTAACAGTTGGCACCTCAAATCAAAATACTCCATACACTGAGACAAAAGTCTAAAAAACAAGTAGTTCCAGTTACTGAAAAGAAGCTGACATGAAAATGAAAAGCACTTTTCTTGTAAGTTCATGAAACAATTGAGCAAGACAATTTTCCTAAACAAAAATAACTATTGTCGCATTAATTCAAATTCTACATTGTAGCAAAAAGTATATTAATAATTTTACTAATACAGATACAATACAGAAATAATAGCATAAAGAAGGAAACATTACTTCTTTCACTTTTTTATATAACATATGCACTGATGGCATACAAATTTGACTACACTCATTGATTACATTCAGTTAGTCGAAAGTCAACTAATACCTATGAAGTACTGCCAAATGCCTGGAACTATTTTAGGGGAACAGAATGAGAAAACAAGGGAGACAGAATACTAATAAAAACATATACATGTATGTCAAGAGATGATAAGTACTAAAAAGAACTAAAGCAGATTAAAAGGAAAAACAAGGAAATTATTTTTACAGGATGATCAAAGGAGCTTCTTCTATAAGTTAATGGCACAGATTTGAGAACCAGACACTGGTTTTAATCTCATCTCTACTACTTATAGCTAGGTGTCTACAGACACCTTATTTCACTTGTAACTCTCAGTTTCTAATTTCTAAAATGCGTATTACAGTATTAGAAAGAAACAAGGTACACATATACACAAACATACATTAGAGATTCAAGAATGAATTAACAATGAGGATAAACAATGAACCAAGAATTACAGTTATACTAAATGGAAATAAAACTGCCAAACTCATTTGGCCATTCTGAGAATGAAAAGATAAGCACATGTAAAGGATTACGAACTTTGGCAGAAGGTTTGGGAGAAAGTGATTAATAGACACAAGAATACATGTAAGCAACTGGAACAGGTTATGGAATGGTGTACTATAGCAGAATAAAAAGGTAAAAAACACTCAACATACACTTCAAAAACCCCAGTATAACTATTTAAAAAAAATTTTTTTTTTTTTTTGGAGAGGTTTTTGCTGTAGGGCACATGCACTCACCAGAAAGACAGAGAGAGACAGAGAGCTAGAAAGCGAGAAATACCCTCCCCCCCAAGGCAGAATGGTCACGCTGCAATCCCTTCTCCATTCTCCTCTTGGGATCTTGGGCACACGCGCACATGCCCCCCGGCGTGAGTTTAAGCCACTGGGTCCAGGACTTGAACTGCAGTTGGCTACAAGGGAGTTCAGCGACATAGCCATTACACTCACTGCTGGTCCCAGTATAACTATTATTGAATGTTCACAACATATTGTAATGTTCAAAGTTGAATAAAATGAATGTCTATATCCTTGATTATTATATGCTGTATGCACACTTAGCAAAACCATATTGTATACCATAAAGATGCACAACAATGAGATATAAACCAGAAATTGCAGTTAAAACTCCCAGTGTTTGCAGGCTGTGAGACACAGTTACTAGTCCACAGTAATGGCTATTAAGATGATCATATTAAGAGAAAACATGCACCAAATTCAGGCATAAAAAAAAGTTCTGTGACATAATTTTAAAATTATGCTAATACATACTCAAAGATTCAATCTTACATGAAAACAAACAGATCTATAATTCAACATGTTTTTAAAAAAGAGATTTTTTGAGAGTGGAAGTTTAAAATCTCACTTAATACTTTTTTGCTTCCGTCCCAAAGTTTCGAGGAAAATATTAAATCAAACTCTTAAAATTGGGCTTTATTTATTTATAGAGAGATTTTTGCTATTGGGTGCTATTGGGAGACAGAGAAAGTGAGAAATCACCCCCAAGGAGGGATGGCCATGCCGCAATCCCTTCTCACTCTTTTCTTGGGATTTTGAGCATGCAAGTACAAGTACCAGTGGGGACTTCAAAGGGTCCAGGACTTGAACCATGGTCAGCCATGGCGGAGTCTAGTGCCTTAACCACTACATCACCTGCTGACCCCCAAATCTGGTTTTATTAATTAAGCTGTCTTCCAACAAAGATCACCACCACAAATTTAACTCTTTAAACATTTCAGCTAAAAAAATAATTGGTCTTCATCTCTTTAGGAATTTTAACTAGGACAAGTTGGACTCCTAAAGTATAATATGTAAAGGTGCTGACCCCCAATTTTTTTCCTGTAGCTTTTAATTCAGATGTCTACTAGAGGAAAACTGAACACAGAACTAGGAAAAAACAGAACATCTAAGTAGACCTGTAACTGGCAAGGAGATGAAATTGGTAATCAAAAACCTCCCTTATTATTTGGGGACCAGGAGATGGCATAGTAGTTATGTCACTGGACTCCTATGTAGTTGACGGCAGTTCAAGTTCCACACCTAGTGGCTTAAAACTCATGCTGGGCACGTGTGCACGCATGCCCAAGATCCTGAGAAGAGAATGGAAGAGAAGGGACTGCAGTGTGGCCATCCCCCATGGGGGGTGATTTCTCGCCATCTCTCTGTCTCTCAGGTGAGCGCACACACCCTATAGCAAAAAATCTCTCTTAAAAGAAAAAACAAACAAAA